AATTGGAGATATAAACTTGATAGTGTCAAGTGTTGGCAGGCAACAATTATCTAGAGAATTACAGTCCTGATGAGAATGGTTAGTTAACCTGTGGTCTTTTGAATTTCCTGAGATTAGAATGTTGAAGGTATGTCCTTGAAAAGGCAAGTATGGATATGGAGGGGTGCCTGCCGGCAAAGATTGGAAAGAAAGGCCTTCTTACCTTCCTGGTCAGAGTTAACAAGCTTATGGAGAAAGAGAAGAAAACAAGAGAATGTACCCAATTTAGAAATAAGAGATAGAGAAGAGTGGGTTAGAATGGGATGGACTTTTTCCTTTTAAGTTGAAAGCAAGTTAACAGAAAGGGAATGGAAAAGAAAGAATTAAAATCTTAACAAAACAAGCAAATAGATAAAATTCATGGTAGGATGAAATATATTCGATTTAAAACAGTAGATAAAAAGAAACAGGGCAGCCCCGTTGGCTCAGCGGTTTAGTGCCGCCTGCAGCCCAGGGCATGATCCTGGAGACCCTGGATCAAGTCCCACCTCAGGCTCTCTGTATGATGCCTGCTTCTCCCTCTGCCTGTGTCTCTGCCTCTCTCTCTCTCTCTCTCTCTCTCTCTCTCTCTGTCTCTATGAATAAATAAATAAAATCTTAAAGAAAAAAAGTTAGAAACAAATGAGGTCAAAGTTTAGAGATAAAATTAAAGCAGAAAAAATAAATAAAATTAAAGCAGATAAAGTATTAAAAGAATAAGCTTATGTTATGAAAATAAACATGCAAAGAAAATGAAAGATTAAGAATTTAGAACTAAAGAAAGTAAAAAAAAAACCCTAAAGACCTTCAAAAAACAAATAAACAGTTGGAGGTGAAAGAGTGATAGAAATAGATGGGTGGGGTGCAAAAGTTGAGAGCATGATGACTTAGTGGTAAGTGAGCAGAGAAGGGCCCTCTCTGTCATTTCTTCCAGTAAGGCCCGGTAGCCTGCAGCCCAGTGAATGGAGGACTGCTCACAGGGTGACCCATGTTTCCTTAATACAAACAACTGAGACAGAGGAGTGGCTGAGCTTGGCTCCAAGCAAGTAATTACCTTATATTTCAACATTGTGTTGGGAGGATTATTTAGTGGGGACATTCCTGCATAGATAAGACAGGTGATAGTGGGATAAGGCGGCAAGAGAGAGACTGGGAAGGTGAGGTCCTGCATCACCACCACCCCCCTTTCATCTCAATTATGTTGCCACATTTGTTTGTGGTAGAATTGGTTGACTCTGAAAGCTAATGGAGGGAAGTTTGGTGAGAATAAAAGAGCCTGCACACAGAGTGGACCTTGCTTCTCACTATCCCAAATAGGAGCAGGTGTGTGCTCTCCAGCTTCTGAGGCCCAAACTGAAGAAAAGGCTCTAACATGACTGTGTCCACCAATGCAGCATTGCAGTAAATGAGAATCTGAATCCCAGCACACTTTAGTGCCCAGTGTCCCTGGAGTGCATACTGCCCAGCAAGGCAAAGGTAGCCCTTAGGATAGGTTGCCAAGTGTGTGTGGAAAGAAAGGAGCAGTTAGATGAAGGAGACGATGGCATGTTTTATCATCAACATTTTTTTGTCTTTTGGTGCAGCCAACTTCCCTTCCTTCTTTTCTAGTGACCTTAGCCATTTTTAGCTTCCGGTAGCTTGAGCCACATTGCTTCTCTAAGCACAGAGTTTTCCTCATGACCCCATGCTTAGATCTGCTCTGGGGAATGAGAGCTTTCATCTCCTGGGCCCTACAGGTGCTGCTAAATCAAAGGCCACTAGTACTATTGTCTTGTCCTACTCTGGTCTCTTATCTAAGGTGTTCAGTAGTGATGAACAGATTTTAGCAAAAGTATGGATAGGCATATGAAATAACCTGGAAGCTTGCTTTAAAAACAGACTCCAGCTGTGTCAAGGAATTCTATTCCACTGTCTTTTGGTGGGTGTTTCTTAAATGGGCTACCTGACAGTAATTTGTCAGATTCTTTCTAGGCCTTTTCTCAGAGGTACCAGCCTTGTGAGTATCATGGCACTTAGTATGTTTTCCTGGCAATTTTTTATTCCTGGGAAGATCATTTTACATTAAGATATATATATTTCTAGAAGCAGAGAAATGTCTGAGTAACCTAAACATTTATGGAAGTTAAAATAAGGTTGTGTGCTTTTTTAGTAGCATGTCAGAGATTTTCCTGAAAATATCATGCAAAAGTATCTGACGTGGATTATAAAATGGTTTCTTCTGTAAAAGCAGAATGAACAAAAAGAAAAAAGAATCCTACTACACTATTACTAGATTTCAGGCAGAACTTTAGGAAGTCTGTTATGATAAACAGGAGGAGCAAACATTAATGTATATTGTAAAATGTCACTGCTTGAATGTGGATGTCACTTGATCTCTCAAAACTGATGAATACAAATGAGATTCCATTAACCATGTTGTCTATCCTAACTGTGGTGAGTCTTGGCTCCCCCTCTGCGTAACTGTAGCACTCTAGTCTCTCCCGTCCTCGCTCTTTCTCTTCCTGTTCCAATCTCCTCCCTTTATTTCTGAGAGTCTCCAGTATTTTGTACTGCACTGTCAGTAGTTTTACTTCTTGTCATCCCTCATCCCAGTCTCTTTCCTTACTGCCCTATGTCCTTCTAGGCAGGGCCATCTTTTGGTGGCACCCCATCCCTCTGTCTGTGGATGATGCTTCCGTGGTCTCTGATACCCACACATGTAAGATGGTGGAGGAACTGACCCTTTGCCTACCTCCATGCTGTATTTCGTCACCTGTACCTTGAAGCAGAACTGTTTGTGCTCACGAATTTTTTTTTTTAATGAATATAGTTACTTCACAATCTGACTATAAACCCTTTCTTCATTTGGGCTAAAAACCAAATCATCATTTGTGAATATGTTATAGGGATATACAATATTTTCTGGGAAGAAAGGTGACAGACACCATGACTGTCCCCAAATCCCCACTATTAGTTCAGGCTACCATAACACGATCACATGGAATGGGTGGCTTAAATGACAGTAAGTTGTTTTCTCATGTTCTCGTAGTCCAAGGTCATGGGGCCAGCATGGTCGAGTTTCTGGTGAGATCTCTTCCTGGCTTTCAGGTAGCTGCCTTGCTGCTGTGTCCTCACATGGCAGACAAACAGGGCTCTGATGTCTCTTCCTCTTCTTATAAGGTCACCAGGTCCTTAACCTGAATATCCTCCTAACGGCCCTATCTCTAAATATGGTACCGTCGAGGAATAGTTTCACCATATCAATTTGAGCATATAGAATTCATTCCATGGCACCCACTATTCTCTTGTTTCTTGTTCCTTTCACCACATGACAACTAGCTCACCTCCTTCCTAGCTCACCTTCCAAAGTAAAAGTGGCTGTGCTAATCAACTCAGGCATATAGTGCTGCCACAGCAAATAGCCAAATTACAAATTCCATTTTGGCACATTTCGAACAATCGCGTATATAAACGGTATCACAGAAGTCATAACTTCTCTGTGACATGGAATACTTAACTTTCATTCTGGAATTCATTCTCTTACCCGCCTTACGAACCCACTGACAGAAAGTGAACAACCTTTTAGAATTTCTGAAAAAAAAAAAAAAGTTTTCTTTGAGCCCCAGTTAGGACAGCTGCCTGAGATACACAATCTTCAGGAAGAAGAGAGTGCTCCAGAGAAGGAATGTTTAATACAGTGTTATAAATGTTTTTTGTTTCACTGGGTTACAAATCATCATGATGAAGGACATCCCAGAAAATTAAAAACTTTATCTTATGCTTTTAGTATGTGCAAGGTTGTAGGCTTCGGAGGCGTGGGGATGGAACTTAGGGAGACTTTTTTTCAAGTTTGAAATGTTACTTTTAGGTTATTTGTTAATAAAGCAGTTTTATACTGTGGGCTCAGGGTAGAAACAGAGTCCAAACTTTGAAGTTTGGTAAGTCATTCCAACCATGGTAAATGTTAAAGTGTGGCTTCCCTGGAGCCCAAGAGCAGGGTCCACAAACATTAAATGTTGAAATTTTCCTTTATCAAATCCCACCTGTAACCATCTCTGTGCTATAGCTCTTTAGTCGCTGGGGAAGCCTCTACGATTAGGGTTAAGCCTACTGATACATTCTGGACTTGTAGAATGAAAGACCACAAGTGTGGGACCAGTCAGACCTGAATGAAAGACCACAAGTTTGGGACCAGTCAGACCTGATCCTGAATACTAGCTGCCTTACTTACTACCTGCCAGGAGTGGCAAGCTATATAAACTCTCTAACACTGAGTTTCATTCTTAGCAAATGAAGAAAATGAATAATACTTATTATCTTGCAGAACTTTTGAAAATTAAAGATAATAAATTAGTGTGACCCAGGATTATACCTGGGACATGGCTTACTGACTTGTTATATGATGCTTTGAAGAAGAGAGAGGAGAAGGAGGAGGAGCTGCTTAAGGGGTTCTTTGAAGTCATCATATGATCTTTCATTCACCGAAACCAACTATAGCATTTTTAGAAGCAGGAGGTTGGGAAAACCATGCTGATAAATTAAATAAGCAATGAGGTGCTGAAGTTCTCCAAATGTTGGAAATTTTGGGTCCATCAAGACACAGTGGTGTTCTAATGTAGCTTTTCTTCTTAAGCTCAATTAGATTTTCTAAATTTTAGATACATTCTTGTATTTACAAGAATAATAACTTCATTTTTTTTGAGACATGGAACAATTTATAAGAAAATTCAAGGAGAACTCGTGTGTCTTCCCTCCTGATGTTCAAAGAAATAGACTGAGTTTTCCTTCTGTTTCTTTCAGTCCAAGTTTACATTTGCAAAGCCAGGTGAAGGGACCTGTAACTGGGCCCAGCCAATCTGTTTTCCTGCTGTCCTTGTCTGCAACATAGATTCTCTTTTCTTTTCTTTTTTCTTTCTTTTCTTTTCTTTTCCTTTTTCTTTTTTCTTTTTTCTTTCTTTCTTTCTTTCTTTCTTTCTTTCTTTCTTTCTTTCTTTCTTTCTTTCTTTCTTCTGGAACACTTCACTAATTTGCATGTCATTCTTGCACAGGGGCCATGCTAATCTTCTCTGTATCATTACAATTTCAGTCTGTGTGCTGCCTAAGCGAGCACCAGATTTCACTTTAAAGAACACTTGTCATACCTTAGTGTGGATGCAAGCAGTAGAGTTTAGCAGTGGAACATGCAAGACACCTCAGCAGTTTTTCATCCCCCCAGAGTTAAAAGACTTGGAGAACATGAGTAAGTGAATTGTGGGCATATATGAGTGAATACATCAGATGTCAGAGTACTGAATTTATTTATGTCAAAAAAGAGCAGAGAATGCTATCCATTTATTACTCTTGTTTTTGAAATTGCTTTTCCCTCTTTTATTTTGTTATTTTATTGTCTTTGATCATTGTAGAAGTGTCAGAAATTACAGAAAAGCAGAAAAATTATAGATGGTGATGGATGACGATGTAATCGTGTGACAGTAAAATGCTTTATTGAGTACTGAGCTCCCTGCTGGATTATAGAAAGAACACAGGAATAGATAAAAGCACAACAATTTTCTTTTCACTGTGTCTCGGGAGAAAACAATGCAGATCAGCATAGATGGAAGCAAATGAGATTAGTTAAAAGAAGGAACTTAAATAACATAGACCGAGGCAGAGTAATGATTACGAAAGAGATGACTCACCTAATAAAAACATAAATGAGAAAAAAGTGTTGTTTCATCTGAGACTTTATTGGTCTTTTTCCTGAGGTGATTTTATGCTTTAGGAAGGAATCACACAGTATAGAATGAGACAGAGAGTTGATAATTATATGGTTAGCTGAATTAAATGATTCTAGATCCCAAATTGAATATTTCATTTTTGTTTTCTAGGTCAACTGTCTACATAGTTTCACTGAGCTGAGTTGGTTATAAAAACTCTACTATGCTATTAGGAGACTGCTAATCTCTATGAAATAGGTAGAACTACCATGCAAGAATATGCTGTGTGCAGGGACATACAATAAGTTTTAAAGTATTGATAAAACTTTTAGGGTCATGTAACCTACTCACACACTTAATCACTGTAAGATATAATATAGAAAGTGTGTGGAAAACGTAAATTTCAGACATGAAAAAAGAGGTCATACACACACATGTATGTGCAATAACCTAGCTTTTAAGGAGTCATGGTTAAACATAGATTCTATCTGACTTATCCAATTTCTTAGTAGTAGAACAAAGAACTTCTTTGGAGAAATAAGCTTTTACTCAACACATGCTTTTCTGAATCTTTCTGAGTTGAGCAAAAAAGGAAACCAGAAAGGCCCAGAAATCACAGTGTGTGTATTTACAAGGATTGATTCACTAGTGTGTTTGGTTTTCCATCCTACATAAAGGCATGGGCTTTGCCTAGAGGGTAAGAATTACCTGCAGTTCCTGCTCTCTTTTTTTTAGTTAAGTCCGTAGAATGATGCATTAGGTATACAGAACAGCAGTCGCCAAATGCCCTTGAAAACTCAGGCAAATAGACCACATCACATTTCATTATGTGACCCTGATGAGGCTTGACATTTATATTGGGATAAGAAATGCCAATATAATTGAAGGTATTGGAAATGGCCCTTTGAGGAAAGGTGATGAATTATCCATTGCCTTAATCTAAGAAAAGAAGATGGAGAAAAAGTAAAGGAGGGGTTTGATTTCATATGCGAGTGGTTCAATAGATAGCATCTTAATGGATTTTGCGTGGCATGTTCCTAGCTGTACTTGTGGCCTCTTTTTGGTAAAGAGAGTCAAATGAACAAGCTCGAAAGTCTTCCTATTTTAAAGTGGATGAATGGAAAATGAGGAGATTGCACAGTGGAGGCTGTCTGTGCCTGTTAGTAACACTGCCTGGGTTTCTTCTAATTGAAAACAGTATAGAGCTCAGATTATGAAATTGCTCTGCTCTGAGGGGTAGTTTTGGTTAGTGGCATAAACTCTGGTGCTAGACAGCTTGGTTTCAAATGTTAGTTCCTCTCCTTAATAGCTATGTGACCTTGAGCAAAGTATTTGACCTCTCTTAGTTCTCATTGTCCTCATCCATAAAATGGACACCACAATAAATCATACATCACAGTTTTGTTTCAAATATTAAATAAATTGATACTGTGAAGGTTTTTAGAGCATTTTGTGGCACAATGTAAGCCCTCCATAGATGTTAATTGCTATGGAGATGTATTTTTCCAAAATAAAAACTGCTTTATTATTTTTCATCTGATGATGAAACTGATATGTGTTTATTCTTTAGAAGATAGATTTTAGAGATAGAAAAAAGAGAAAAAGTTATTTGAAATAAATTTACCCTCAGATAACTTGGAAGGATAATTTAGGTATTATCCTTCAAGACAGTTTTTTTTTGTGTGTAAAACACACATAATGTATAAAAATATGTCACGTGCATATCTCATTGGGCCACTCTTCTGCTACTCCATTCCACCAGTAAAATAAAAATGCAAATTAACCTGTGACACTGTCATCTATCTCAATTCAATGGCCCTCAGAGATAGCATCTTCTAGAAAGTTCTTGAGTTCCTCACCCCCTTCTGAATCCCCATTATTATTGTACTCTATGCTCACTTCATGGGGCCCTTAACACATTTGCTTCCTCATTCAGAAAATATTTATTGAATACTTTTTCTGTGTCAGGTATCGCATGAGGTTTGATGTAATAGTGGTCCCTGACTTGATGGAACTTAAATCTTTGGGGAGAAAAAAAATGCACTAATCAAATACACAATTTACAAACAGTGGTAAATCTTATAAGGAATATTCCAGAGTAATTGCTCTGTAAGAAATTCATCCATAGGATGAATTATAAAAAACAATAGGAACTGTGATTGCACAGAGGCTATACGTGTTACAAACCCAGTTATTGTAAGAATAACAATTAGGAGGAGAGAGGAGGATAGGAGGAAGGGAAGGAGAGATAGAGAGAATGTGAAAACACTAAGATGTTCTTCTTTTTCAAAAAAGAGGAGGGTGAGTTGTCTACTTTTTCTAACACAATATCTTGTGGCTATATAAAGTTTAATAATTATATTTTCAAGTTATTTTCCTACTGTTGATAATAATTATAATTAAATTAATAATTTTAAATAAAAATAACAGTAGTACACAATTCACATTTTTAGGGAAATATTTCTCTCATTTCTCTTCTTTCTATGAACCAAACCATCTATCATAATACATTCTTAGAAAGATGTCTGAAATCATGTTTACCTAACATTAATGCTTTCTGTTTAGTGCTGAAATTGTACAATTGTTTTCATTTCATTCTTGTTCTTTCCTTTATATGTAAATTTTAGGTAAGTATATATCAGCTTTTAAGAAAAGAGGTTTTCCTAAGAAAAAGAGATTGAAGCAATTATGCCCAAATGGTTGTAACAAAAACTCTCTTGAAAGTTGTCTTGAAGATTAAAAATGAGGTATGTAAGGTGCTTGGTACAAAGCCTGAAATGCAGTGAGTGCTACATAGGATAACTCTAACTCACTTGTGGGTTTTTGCATTTGATGGACAAAGAGATAGGAGAGGCTGCATGGACTATGGCTGACACAGTTTGGAGCATTTAAGCTTGAAATTCAAGATGATGATGATATAGAAGAGGAAGTTCAGAGAATAAGGTTATAAAATAGTTTAATAGCATGAGTATGGAAAGAAATGGAGCAAGGAATAACAATACATCGGAAAAGCTTGCTTACAAACTGTCTTCACGATCACTCTTGTTTATACTACAGAGGGAAGATGGGAGCCTCTACTGCTTTGTATTCAAGGATTTGCATACTGTATTTTAGTTATCTCCTCTGTTAAAGAAGTCTTTAAGGTCTTATAATCTCTTATTTTTTCTTTTAATACTTTCATAGTTCTGTTTATTACATTTAGGTTTTAAATCCATCTGTAAATGCAATTATGCTTGTGCCATAAAGGATTATATCTTTTTTTCTAAATGGATACCAGTGCTCCCATCACCATATACTGAAATAGCCATGTTTTCTTCGTCTACTTGAAATGCTACCTTGATTATGGTAAGATTTCCATGTCATTGTAGTAAGTTTTCATATATACATGGTCTGGTTTTGACCTGTATTCTGCTCCATAATAAATTTATCTAGTGCCTTGCCAATACTACCTTTGATTACTGCAAATTTGTATGACTCTACATAAGGCTAGTAAGAATGGAAAAGGGAAGATGGATTGGAGGCTTTTTTAAAAGCAAGTGAAATTGACAGAATGCTGTGGCTGTTTGTATGCTGATGGTGAGAGAGCAGAATAAAGGGTGACTCCCAGATATCGAGTTGTTTCTATTTGATGGATTATTGTCTTACTGTTGGAGAGGGGAAAAAATGTTCTTATAACTGGGCTCAGAATTAAATTGGCATGAGACAGATCAACAGGAGAAAACCTGGTGTAATTTCATATGTGTGGGGAATTTGCATAAGCATGAGACTCCAAAGACAGTCAGGCAAAATTAATAATATATGTCATCCTGAATTAAGGAGGAGATATGGGGTCTGGAACGTCAAAGGGAAGAAAAGAAATTCACAGATACGGAAGAGTAAATGTTTCGTGAACAAATGTTTGCTGGACTGTTCAGAAACAATGGGAGAGAGGCAAGAATTTTAACAAACAGACTTTGCTAAATTCCTCCCTGTCTACCACCTCTGGTTCAAATTATTAGACTGTAGTTATCTATGGTGGCAGCTCTCTTACTGGAGCAGGTCCTCTCTCTAAATTATTTTTAGGCAATTAGGAGGAAGGTTAAAGCTGCTTCTTGTTTTCGGCTTAAAATAATCTGCCATGCTGAAGTGGCGCATTTTGGGGGGACCTACTTGTAGCCCCTACAACATCAAGGGAAAACAGGTGCAGGAGGAATAAAGAAACAGAAATAAGAGCTATTATGTGAGGATGGATGGTAAATCAAATTTGAACATGGTATATTTCACTTTCCTGCAAGGTATGCAGGTAGAGCAGACTTGCAGGTCTTGGAAGTTGCAACTGGAGATCTAATTTTATGAGTCATCACATGCAGATTGCAGTTAAACTATGAGAATGAATGAAATGATTCTAGCAGAGAAGAATGCAAGCAGTGGCTGA